TATCACCCCGCTTCTCACCACGAGCCTGTCTGATGTCCACAGTCAACTGATACTGTTGTAGAGCGGCGTCTACCACCTGAGCATAGGTAGTATAGGCTGGATTACCTGTAATAGCTCTCTTGATAGACCACATCAGTCCCTTAACGAAACTGTTACGCTTCTTCTCCTCTGTATCCACCTCCTCCGGTGCAAAGAGAGACAAGCGTGTGAATTGCTGCTCATACTCCGCCACTGTCATGTTTCCTTGCTGCAGATTTAGAAACTCGGTCTTCATAGCTGCCCTGACTGCATAGGGAAAATATTTCTCCTCAAAGCGAGCACTGAACTCCTCATAAGTCAATGTCATCCTCTCCTCTGGGGTGGTAACTGACTCCCACCACTGTAGTGCATCCCCAACTAGCTTGAAAGTAGCAAGCATCTGCTTTTGAACCTCCGTGCACTGAACCAAACGAAGATGACGCTCAATGTCCTGTTTCCACTGGTGAGCTGTTCTCGCATCGGTGGAGCCTGAGAACACAGGTGGACTCCCCTTTGTGAAACAGCTCCTAGCCTTTCCCCAAGAATCCGTCTGAACCACTGGTGCTGGTACAGGTGCCTGCTGAACCTGTGGTTGGTTCCGGAGTGCAGCTGTTACCCCAACCTCTATAGCCCGAGCAACAAGGTCATTGAGGTGTGGAGGAATCTCTGGATCTCTGTCCCGACCCTGAGTCTGTTGAACTTGCTCCTGCTCCTCCTAAAACCCTAGCATTTGCTGCTCTTCTTCCATTTGCAGACGTTGAAGACGTTCCTACTGTCTACGTGCCGCTCTCCTCTATCGACTGTTCATGTTCTGTCCTCTTCCAGTGTTAACCATGCTGTTAACATAGAAAGACAAACATCAATACGAGTTTAAACGAACCGTAAGAGAATTCAACGAATCCTAAACATAAGCTCTCTATATAAAAAAAACGCTATGCGGAAGTCTTAATACGAAACGTCCTTGAGACACTTGAACCTGGAGTGCTCAGATACCAACTGTGATACCCCTCGGATCAGAGACACGGGTTGATCAGGCCCAGGCCCAGGCCCAAACCCTAGGGAATATCAAACAATTAAAGTATTTTAAAGCGAACACAGATGACAAAATGAAACAATAAAGATGGAATAAAACTGAAAGAAACATTAATTATAAAATCCTCCATGTATAACTGAAAATTGAAACTCCAATCCTCAAAAACTTCAAGGTTACAACTTGGGAATCCACTGATGGACCCCTAACCAAAAGTTCAACTGAAACTGAAAACTGAAAACAGATAATGCTAGAAATATCGAGAGAAGTCCTACGAAATCAGATGAAGGTGAGTCTGTCCTCGACAAGTTCGATCAAGCTCTAAGGCTGGAACCGTCCTGTACCTCAAAAGAATAATGAAGGAGTGGGTCAGACCCACGAGCAAGTTCTAATCTAACTGCAATCCATACAGTGACCCAATACGCAAATACACCGTAGACACCTCACAATATCTATCTAGTCCATACGTATAAATATATCCACACTAGGGGACATTCACTAGTCTATAATAGGGGTCTCAACCTGAATAGTAGGCAACATGCGAATACGCACCCAAAGGTGGGCATGAGTACCTAGACCTAACAGGGTACACCTCAACCTATTATAACCAGCTACGCATCCACTGCATATACGCACCCTAACCAACGAGGCTGAGACTCAAGCTCAACTCGTGGTACCATAAACATATATATAAAGTCCGTCCAAATCCAGGGTAAGCAGTTCAACTATTTATTAAACTGACCTACAATAAACCAACTAGTTAGTCACTCAACTTATTCAGTGGATATGACTTAACTACCATCCGTTAATCCAGGAAGTCATCAAACTTGGTTACAGCTGGTCTGACTTAGTCACAATTAGGATTCGATATCTTTTAATCCATTCCATTAATCCATTAGGTTATGTTTATGCGTTTTGAGCTAAACCGTCCCTAGTATGTCACCGTCCCATACCGGTATATGCAATCCTCTATATCCAGGTAAATTACAACATATATAACAGTTTAATAATTTACAGACCCAAAAACCACCATCCAAACAATTGTAGAAAAATATTTAAAGCTTCAGCAATTTAAATCCAAGCATTTAACCATATAGTTGCAGAAGACGATTTAACAAATCAACAACTAACATCTAGAGCATGCATAAACCAAATTTAATATGTCAGGGACTCCATCATGCATGTGAATAAGTTAAATAATCCTATTACTATCTAATAAATTGCTAAAACAATTTCAGAAGATTGTTTAACAATTTAAATCCAAGCATTAACCATATAGTTGTAGGAAACGATTTAATAATTCAGTAACTAGCCTCCTAAGCATGCATAGATCAAAATTAATAATTAAATGACCTTATCATGCACTTGAATGCATTCTAAAACAAGTTTTATAAACACATTATATTCCATCAAATTGCAGAAATTGAATTCAACAATTAATTCAACTTCCAATTGTTAACAACATAGGAAGTGCCTCAATTTTTACACTGTTTGTCCTGACAATTTAGAATTAAACTTTAATCAATTTAGGGTCTTAATAACACTCAAAATTCATTCCTTAATCCCTCTATAAAGTTCCAAATTCACTCAAACAGTCTCCATGCTCCAACAGTGAACATAGTACGTAGAAAATAAAAAAAAAAACTTAAAATAAATCAAAAATAACAAGGGAGCCTGCTCCAAAATTTGGAGCAGGCTCTTTTTCCAGCCTAGAGCCGGCTCTAGGAATCCTTATTATTCTTTATTTTTGTCCTATTATTATTGAATAAAGAATATTAGGGGGTATTTTCGTATTTTTACCTATTCCTCTGACAAAAAGCCCTTATTTGCAACTCTTTGAAATTAGAGTGGTGAAGTTTGAACAACGGGGGTATTATTTGCACATTTTTAAAAATATAAGGTGTTTTTTAGACTTACTCCTAAAAAAAATGTCACTACCAATTATACTTCAAAGGTGGTAAAATTACTCCTTTATTCCTCAATATTTAGAAATCTACTATTCGACTGTATGAAATTGGAGTTTGGGAATTGAAATTTATGAAATTGGAGAAAATTTTGATTCATTTTTGTGAGTTATTTTTTTCCAATTCCACAAATTTCAATTGCAATGCTCTAATTTTAAGCAGCCAAACACATCCTGAGAGTTTTTTCACGATAATAATTGGATTTATAAATTCCTTACTTTAAAGTGTGAAATAAATACCAATTCAACTTCTTCTATATTTTTACCACAATTCTACTTCAAAATTTATAATTATGTAAGAAATAAATTATTGTTGCAACTCATCGCTATTGTTTTTACATCAATTCCATTGTTTCTAAGTTTTTTTAACCTTTGTAAATAGTGGTTGTCTTCTTGAGCATATTATCATTTATCTTCAGGGCAGCATAATAGACTTTATTTTCCTGAACTTTGTAAATCGAAAGTTAATTATAATTGTTCATATTACTTTCATAACTTCCGCCTCAAGAAATTATATATATATATATCTACTCGATATATCATTTGTGGGGCTTTTGGTTGTTGGGTTTTTCTTACCATCAGAAATGGCGGTGATCCAATTTATAAAGTTTACAAGAATGCTCCAATTTATTTTCTATAGGGGAAAAACTATATAAAACGTGCAATAAGAACTAAAATCACCAACGACAAACAAATATATATATATATATGCAAACAAATAAATTGCTCGGATCAATAAGGCTCGGAGAGAAATTAAACTTAAGACCTAATACTACCTAAAGATCGGTCCAAAACTTTTTCAATAGACCAACCCTTAAGATTAAATGCAATATATTTTAACAAAAAAAAATAGCAGTAAAGTTTCCAAGTCGCGTGACTAGAATAAATAACCCGAACCCCAAACAGACCACAAATTGGTGAGCTTCGTAAAAGTTCTTAATGGACCATTAGGAAGCAATAAGAATATGTTCTCTATGATGGAAATATCATTATCATCAAAGCATATGTTCTGATTGTTCTCTAACGTTGTACTAAATATATATAAATTATACATAAATCTATCTTTTTAGAAAGTTTGAAGAAGAGGATCACAAACATTTTTTTCTTTTCTTTTCCAGGATCACAAACAATCTTCTTCTTTTGTTTTGACAAGATAAATATAATCTTGATATTATCTAAAATCTATTTTTTACGTCATTTATTTTGTGTAAATGATATGTACTTTAAATGATCTGTTTTTTTACATCATTTATTCAAAATAAATTATGTATATTTTAGACAATATCATTTTGCATATATAGATACTCAAAACAAAGACCTCCTCATTTTCAACAAATTGTTAAATCACCGAATTATGCGATTTGGTTCGATTTTATAATAGACAATACTTAGATCTTTATTAGTGAAGATCTACAACATACTTTTCGCTGATGTGAATTAATAATAAATTGATAATAGATTGATACATTCTTCTATTTTAATTACCAAATTATAAATAATAATCAAATCACTATATTTAATTATTGTCATTCTATAATACAATAATTCAATTTCAATTCTAAAAATTAAAAATCTTTTTTATTGCGGTTCGGATGCGATTTGGGATTCAAAAGGCCGAACCCGAATTGAATCGAATCAATGAGGAGAAAATATAATTTTACCATAGAGAGGAAAGTTCAAATTTATTAGAAATGTGAACCAAACTAATGAATTGGTGAGTTGGATTCCGATAAAATGAGTCAAATTTGAAATCACATACGACTCAGAATATCTACCAATGGGCTACCCGGCTCATCCTGAATTCCACTGCTTTCAACAATTCGATAATATTTTTTTTTTATAAAAAAAGAAAAAAGTAAAAAGAAAAAAAAGAGCGTAATAGTAAAATCGGCGACATTAGAAATGTAAACCAAACTAAAAAAAAGCTTGTTCAATTGTAAATGGGAAGACTCGAATCGAATAACTCCCCTTAAACTTCGCGTTACATATATATATATATCACGCAGGAGAGAGAAGAGACAAACACACACAGAGAAAGAGACAAACACGCGCGGAGAGGGAGGCTGAATTGGTTTGTAATTCACTTCGAAGGGTTCACAATCCTAATGGCGAAAGAACACAGCGAAGGAAGCTCTGTGGCCTTGGATCTCATCGACTTCTTAAACGCTTCTCCAACAGCTTTTCACGCAGTTGGTAATTCTCACTCTTCAAACCCTCCCTCTCAAAGCTTATTTTTCTCTCTTATCCTCTGTTTGGTTGCTCAGAAAAAATCTCATGAATCCATGTTATATTGAAACCGATAAAAGCAGGACACAACACCCATTTGAGATTGAGCTGAGATAGGGACCAACTCTTTTGTAATCAAACGATTATAAAAATATAGGATTCGAAATTTAATATTTTTCCTTGTTTCATTTGTTTTCTCAGCAACCAAACGAATGCATAGGGTTTGTACTGATCGAATCTTGGTTTTTTGTGAGTGGTTTTAAAATTTATTTTATTATTTCATATTTTCTTATTGGGTGATTTTCAGACGAAGCGAAGAAGCGATTGACAAGTGCAGGATATGAGCAAATTTCAGAGAGACGGGATTGGAATCTACAAACAGGAAAGAAGTATTTTTTCACAAGGAATCACTCTACAATTATCGCTTTCGCGATTGGTAAAAAGTATGTGTTTATTGTGTTGGTTTCACTGTTGATTTCTCTTTGTTTGGTCTGAGAAAATTGAATAAAATGAAAGGAATGGGATTTTTGAGTCTGTGTATTAGGCTAAGTTTGATTAAAGGTTCTACTTTTCTCAAGTCTAAATTTTAAAATGAGTAAGATTTTAAATTTGCTCAGCAGCCAAACATAGACTAAATAAGAAAATCACCATGTATTGTTGAGACATCAAGGGGGAGTGCTTATAGAAAGTACCTTCTACTCTATCAGATTCTGTAATTATGTTGACATGTATTGCTGCTATTACTGGAATTGTCTTTAGATATGTTGCCGGAAATGGATTTCACATCATTGGGGCTCATACTGATAGTCCTTGTTTGAAGTTGAAGCCTGTTTCGAAGGTAATCTTGTATTTCAGCTTTGACTAGCTTATTTATTTATGTAATAATTTTTTTAAAAAAAACCATTTGTGGGAAACATTAAATCTTGTTCACTTTTGGTGGTTCAGGTATCAAAAGGTGGGTATTTGGAAGTCGGCGTTCAAACATATGGAGGTGGTTTATGGTTTACATGGTTTGATCGTGACTTAACTATTGCTGGAAGGATGATAATAAGAGAAGGGACTGATGCTTCTCTATCCTACTCACACCGACTTGTTAGGCTTGAGGAGCCCATAATGCGAATTCCAACTCTGGCAATTCATTTGGACAGGTATTCCTTTGTAAAAATAACTTTCAACTGAATTGTTGGATGTTGTGTGCTTTAGTTTCTGAACTCAATTGGGTTGCCTTGGCTAGCTGCTCAAGAAAGATATGTTTTTCATTTTATCGAGCAGGAATGTTAATGAAGAATTGAAGGTGAACAAACAAAGTCATCTTCTTCCAGTTTTGGCAACATCAATTAAGGTAATTTTTGGAATCACACAAGTCACGTAATGTTTTGTAAACAATGATGTTAGATTTTCTTTGTCCTCATATTTCACTATAGTAAGTAATTTATGTTATTCAGGAATTAATATTAATTTATGTTAAAGCACATATATTCTCATCATAACTCATTCTTGTGGAAAACAAGGAGCAACTGAAATCCTTGGTTTTAAGCTCGTCCTTTTAGTCCTCGAAGAATTAATTATTTTTTATTTTTTAAATTTCGATTGTTGGTATATGGCAAGAATTAAAATTTACATATTTGAAAATGAGGGATAAGGTTCAATATTGGATTGAGTCATGCATCCTCTGTTACTATTATGTACTTATGTGGGTATCTTTATTATATCAACAAATTTTTAAGTATGTCGACATTGGTTGTCATGGGTGATTAGGTGGAGATTGAACCTTTGTTAAGTTTCCTAAATCAATGCATATAGCTTGAGGACACTTATGGTGAGAAAATTAGCAAAACTACTAGAAGCTGGAACATGGAATACAGTGAGATCTTCGTCAGCAGTTTTTCCCATGCAAAATTTGCAACAAAAATTAAAATTATTGTCAAGGAAAAGATATTTGCATAGTTTGTTGTCAACTAGGCCAAGGAAGATGCATTGCACATATATTGGAGTGAGCAAAGTTGAGTGACAAAATGAGATGTTGGGAAGTCTTTAATAGAGGAAAATACAATTTGTCAATTTGCATAATATAATGCAATGTCCACAGAAAGTTAGTGAAATGCGTTTGAGACGAAGATACCTTAATGTGCACTAAAATCAATAGTTTTCTTACAATTTGTTTTACAGGTTGGATCTGTAGTTAGTTTGTACATGAAACAATAATTTTATATTATTGCTATAGACTTAAGTAGGGAAGAGGAGGGTGAAATACTCCAGTCCCATCTTGCATCTGGTTTATCTGATGTGCTACTGCTGTGTTTGCACTTTGAAGACAACAGTCACCTTCCGTATGTTGATTGAGAGACATTACACCTAACCTAAGTGCTGGATTTTTGCATTGAGAGATAACTTGCCATTGCATTGATGAAATTTTTTTGGTACCTGACTGAAAATAGTTATAGACTTCTAATGTTCTTCATCCGTGCTTTAACTTAAGAGTTATTGTTTGAGCAGTAATGGAACAATAGCCTTTAGAAAAGATTGGACTATTGATATAAATCAAGTCACTAAAAGTGTGCATATTGAGGAATTAATTTAATGCTTAATATAAGGATCACAAGAGGATGATTTGTGCTATAACTCCTGCCCAAGGCAACTGTGCCATGTGGAGATAACAATCTGGACAAATAAGTATTTGAATTTTTTTCAAGATCTCGATTGAGATATAAGAGAAGCCGGATGGTTGAACCATTGAATTTTTTTTCTCTAGGATGTGATAGAATAAGGAATTCTTATTTATTGACATCTAGTTGGTGGAAACATTTTTGGCCACATGCCAACCACAAGAGTTGGAATTCCAATTAATAGCCATTTACAAGTTGATACAATATACATTTGAAGCAAATGATGCCTTCTAATACCATTGACTACTATAGTAGTGTTCGTAAGAAATTGAGTGGATATAATGACAAATTGTCTATTCAAACCATGATTTGCCATCCTGGTTTCAAATCAGATTCCCTGAGCCTTATATTCTATATTTGAAAATCAGGCTGATTTATTCCTATTGGAAGCTTGAATCTGACTCAGATAAAAGGTTCAATGATATGTTGATATCTAATATTATTGTGATACCATATGCTTCCTTAATCCAACTGAATAACTCAGACATTGAACAGGCCGAGCTCAATAAAGTGGTTGCTGAGAATGGTCCTGGTGAAGATGGAGTTCCAACTGATTGCAAGAAGTCAAAAGCAAAATCTGAAACTGATGACCAAAAGCATCATTCACTGCTTATGCAGGTTAAGAAACTGTGCAATTAAGGGTGTATACCACCTACTTTTTCTTTCTTCTTTTAATAATATATTTTTTGAATATTTGTTTTTGAAGTTCATGGGTAAGATACATATTACAACTCCATGAGTGATTCTCAACTTGGATGGTAAAGATTTTGGGTATTCTCTGCTCTTGATTCTTGTGTTCATTTTGTCTTTTTTTTTTTTTTTCAGCTTCTTGCAACACAGGTTGGCTGTAAACCAGATGACATATGCGATTTTGAGTTGCAAGCATGTGATACTCAACCAAGTCTTATTGCTGGTGCTACAAAAGAATTCATTTTCTCTGGAAGACTTGATAATCTCTGCATGTCATTTTGCTCTTTACAGGTATGAGTTGTTATAAAGGCAGCCTTCCTTCCTTGAGGTGCAAATAAAAGGTGCATAGCTGAGCTATATATAATATTTTTTAATTCTTTTCTTTCTTTGCCAGCTTTTTGGATGTTTTGTCTGCTGTACAATATGTTATTCTTGTTTCTCTTGTCACTTTTTCGGACGGGGAAACCTTTAGAGTCATGCTATGTCATGCTAATAAGCCTTCAGTTTTTCAAGACCTTCATAAATGCAATATTGGAAGTTAAGTCAAGTGCTGCTGACATAACTCGCAGAATTTGCACATTTGTTGATGAATGAACTTGGCATGCGCATGATTTGGGTCAAGTGAATATGTTTTGAACTTGAGTTTCACATCTGGTGTTTAGTCAAAACTTCTGAATTTTGGCATTGGTAGTAATCAATATTATGAGATTTTAGGTCTCTCTGCAAGTTCTATTAAGCTATTTCAGATGAGGCTTTTTTGAGTTGAAATGACTGTCAATTAAGAAGATTGCTCGGAGATTTTTTCATTCTAGTGCCAATGGGTTAGTCATCATATGTATTTTTTTCAGCTCGAGTCATTTAGCCTAGTCAAAGTGCATTGGGTTAACTTTCTGTCTCCTGATTATGAGATTTGGACTATGTTCTTCAAGTGCAGCTGGTGTTGGAAGGGGTATACAAAATACAGACCTAATTTATTACTTTTTTCCCCCTAAATACTTAATTTATTGCTTTATTTGCACAAAGTGACTGCAGCTAAACACAACCCCATTTTCTGCAAATCCACCCCAAACTTTTTATGCATCAAGTGATGGTCCTTGCCATATATAATTAGTACAGGCAACATTTCATGCTATCAATCGGGTCAATATCTATTGTGCTGAATGGAATGGATTAAAATTGGAAATGTCTTTGCTTTTGGGCTCGAGTCCCATAGCCTATATAGACATTAGCATGCCCCACACCCCAAACCCAACCCACAAAAATAAGAAAGGAAAAAGGAAAGAATTTTGGCCTTTATTATGTGATTTAACATTGCAGAGTGAAGGAGAACTTGTTATGATATTTGCAGTAAGGTATCTGTTAACATTGCAGAAGAAGCATGCGGTATCTGCCAAGATAAATGGAAGAAAAATATGGGCAGCTTTTGACTCCAGGAAAACCTGTTATGATATTTCTGTAAAGTAAAACTCTGCATGTATGCAACTTTATTTGTGAGTGAATAAACTGGGTAACATTACCAAAACCCGTAAACCTAGACTCACTGAAGTATCTGCATTATCCTTAATTCATCTTGGTAGATACCACGTGTTTTGGAACTTGAAACTACAAATCATTATGCTTCTGCGGCTTTTCAATTGTGTTGCCATTATTGTTATTTCTTTTATTTGCAGGGAAAAAAACTTTCAATGCATAGCTGTTCATTCTTACCTTTTTTATTATGGATTCAATTTTAGGCATTGATAGACGCCTCTTCTGAAAGTAGTCTTGAAGATGAGACTGGTGTAAGAATGGTGGCTTTGTTTGATCATGAGGAGATTGGATCTGATTCAGCACAGGGGGCTGGATCTCCAGTATTGTTGGATGCTTTATCGCGGATTACAAGTTCCTTCAGCCCGGATTCCAGGGTAGTAATAGTTCCAATTTTATTTTAATGTTACATGGTTTGTTTAAAAAATATATAAAATAAAATTAGCAAGTTTCTACACCTGCATCAATACAAATATACAATATAAAAAGCCAAATGACCTCCTCCTTCTAAGGGACTCTTTTTTTTATCCTCAAATTTTCAGGTCTAGTCTTTTTTAGTATTTCTCATTATACTCATGTTTACTAATTTCACTAAAATAAATAAATGGTTAAATAGTAATTTTACATGACTTGTGAAAAAAAGAAAAAATTGTAGTTTTAAATGATTCCAGTTCTGCCCTGTCAAACACTTAAATCATTTATTACCCCAACTTTTTTTTTTTTTTTCTCCCTTTACCTAGAAAAGCTCTCTTCCTTTCCTATCTCTCCTACATCACCGTATGTGTGCTATGATCACATGCATCTTGCATGCACCTTCTGGTTGCGAAAAGTGCACATTTTCTTGATTGCATTTTTTTGTTGAGCCAAAACTACTGGCAAATTAAAAGTTTGCCTTTAGTTCACTTCTTTTTTTTTTCTTTTCTAAATGAGTTTTGTATTATCAATTAAAATGTTATTTTCAGAAAATAGAGTACATCATGGAATTTCATCCTAGTCGTGTTTTGTTAAGTCATCCATATTTAAGCAATCTGAAAAAGAGAATGCATTTTATCAATGAACACAAAATATGATCTATTTTATCATGGAATCTATTCTTACTTGAACTCGTTGAACAGCCAAGCATTATATGGATGTGATATATTTGTGTTCAACTACGATCAAAAAATTTAATAGTAGTTTGGGCCACTAGAGAGATTACCAACTCAAAAATTTAACTAGTAAGAACCAATAAGTTTGTCTTAATTTTCATTTAGAAAAGCTTTTAGTTCTGCCCTCTTTATACAACTTCCTATATAAGGGGTAAAGGATCATTTTGCAAAGCACAACAGGGCTACATCAAGAATCCCATTTCCATGAGACCATATTGTTGCCTCCAGAAAGGATCCTATCTGTTGGATGGAGTCATTGTAGTATTTGGCACTGTCAAATCAGCCAGGGCTCTTAGTCAGCTGTGTAAATTAACCCTCAATTTCCCTGCACGGGAGCACGAGTAACTGAGTCACTGAATGCCTGAATCTAGTAGCATAATTTTTCTCCCTTAACACTCACTTTAGTATATTTTTGTAGTACTGGGTCCATCATTTCTTTTTTGTAACGTCTTCGTTGCTATTCAGTTCCTGGAGAAAGCAATTCAAAGGAGTTTCCTTGTATCTGCTGATATGGCGCATGCCTTACATCCTAATTATATGGTATGTCGGACTTGTATTCCGAATTCAGTGAAAATATGATTTTTTTTTTTCTCATGTCACATTGTGGTGATATGGTTTTTGGTTTCAGGATAGACATGAAGAAAACCATCAGCCCAAGTTGCATGGTGGACTCGTCATTAAACATAATGCAAGTCAACGCTATGCAACTAACGCTGTAACTTCCTTCATTTTTAGGGAGATAGCAGCCAAGCATAACCTTCCTATTCAGGTTAGTTTCATCTCAACTTCAAATAACATGATTGTGAACAATTCTGGGGTGCATATTTGTTAAAAGGAAAATTTCATTTAATTGGTTTTGCTTGGAGATTTATCTGGTATGAAATTACCATTTTCCTTGGAGCATTTCAAGGTACAGTTCCATCTTCTATGGTGGGTTCTTTATTAAACATAAATTAAAACTCAATCCATATGACTGACAAGAATATTTAGGCAACCTCAACCATTCCAATCCCCAAGTTATCCTTTTACATGAACTGGAATGAACATACTTCAAGTGTCACGCCGATCAAGATGCTATATAATTCAATTTTCTGTAGTGGGTTCTTTGTTAAACAGAAACAGAGATTCAATCCATCCTGACCAAAAAAATATTAAAGCAACCTCAATTATTCAAATTTCCTAAGTTATCTTTTACATGGAAGGAAAGAAACTTAACTTTTTTAAGTGCCAAGAATAACTAGATTGATTGGTTTAATCTGCATGTCATGTTCGAATACCAGTTTTGCATCTTGGAGATTGATAGTCGTCATTGGGCATGTAATATTTGCACTTATAATTGTAATGATGCAATTACCCTAATATTTTGGATAATTGCGGGGTGGGTAGTACTTTTAAAGGACATGTGAGGCATTTTATTTTTCAAAAAAAGTAAGGGAAGTGCAAAATTGCAAATATCATTTCCCTTTTTCGTCAATTATTCATGTCATAATTATTCTCATGAGCGGGTAGAGGTACAAAATACAGGGGATATAAAAGAAAGACGAAGAGATCTGAATAGATAGCTCACTTTCTTTTTCGCATGACTGGAGATCAAATTCAAAGATATGGCATGAGATTATGTGGTAGAATATTGATAATTTTAGAGAATTTTGTCCAATGTAGGATTTTGTGGTTCGCAATGACATGGCCTGTGGCTCAACCATTGGTCCCATTCTGGCAAGCGGTGTGGGCATACGTACAGTTGACGTTGGAGCACCACAACTATCGATGCACAGCATAAGAGAAATGTGTGCAGTTGATGATGTGAAACATTCATACGATCATTTCAAGGCCTACTTCCAAGAGTTCTCTCATCTTGATGCCAAGATTACTGTGGACATCTAGGTCGTAGTCTTTCCAGGTTTAGCATAAGCAGTTCCGCATCTAGATCCCTGCTTCGAACATATTTTTACTATATTTATTGTATCATCAAAAGGTTGCCCAGTCAACCAATTTCATGTGCTGAAATTGCTCTTGTTTACCTTTATCAAGACTTGGTGAAACTATAGTAGTGACCTTACATCTAATATAATTATGAGCAAAACCAATGTTCAACTAATTTCTGTTGTGACATTGGTGGGTAAAAACTTATCGAACTGAATTGATTAAGGCTTTTGAATTTGTGGATATTGAATAGCATCATACCAGTGGATTGTCGCTATAGTGTTCCTTTTTACATGATATTAGAGCACTTATAGTTGCTGAAGGCTATCTTGAGTTCTTTGATATTCATTGGGGGTTGACTCGACCTATCTTGAATTCTATAATGATGTAGCATTGTTCTTGATCATATATGTGTGTGTATGTGTCTATATATTTTATATATGATCGTGTGTTTGTGTATGTATTCCTAAAGCAGAGCCATTTAGCGAGGTCTGAAATTTTTGGATTAGAAATGGATATAGTGTTTGGAGAAATATACAGATCATAATTCATCCTCATAATGATCGACGTAATCTTACGTCACACCTTACCAATTTATGTACACCGCTGAAGACTGCGACGTTGATCCGAGCAGGCACACCATTGTCGACGAGCAGCAATTCCTCACTCCTCTGATTTGTACGCTGCCAAAGACGTTGATCTGAACAGGCACGCCTTTGCCGATGAGCAGTGACTCTGTCTCCTCTCTCAAACCCCCTTGTATAGGATCCAACGTTGTTCCGGTGCGCCACCTGCATATCCCAAGCCTCACAGCCACCGGAATTCATTCACGCCGTTCGGAGCTTGTCACTCCTTGCTGCCTGGGCGCCATTCGGACAATGCTCGGCATCTTCTTCACAGCCGAACAAACCTAGGGATGTCAATTTTTACCACCCCGCCGGGGCCCCGCCCCGTTCCGCCCCGTTAATAACGGATATGGGAACACTTATTATACCGTTGGGGCGGACATGGATACAAATTTTGTACCCGTCGAGGGTCACGGGGCGGGTAAGGGTTCAATATACATATCCTAGGGGCCCCGCCCCGCATATAACTATATTTAATATATATATATATATATATTAATAAGTTATTTTAGCGGCTTACCCAACCCATCTCTTACAATCCTAATTTGGGATGTAAACTTGGTATTAAATTTGCTTTTGTTTTGGTTATGGTGGAAGTTGGAGCTTAGAACTTCTTGTGATTTGGTTGTATTAAATTTTTATTTTTGTTTATTATGTTCTTTGAATTATGTTATGTGCATGTTATTTTTTTTATTTTTGTTAGAATACATAATTTTATTTATGTTGTGTCATTCCTAGGCTTTGCACATTTAAATAGCAGGAGTTTAAGTTCCAAAAAGTGGGAGAAAAAAAATTTGTTAGTGGGGCGGGCACGGGGGCACAGTATTTCCTAACGGGGCGGGGTTGGATATGAAAATTCAACCAGTCGCGGGTCTCGGGGCGGGCATGAACTTGACAAAAATTAAAAGGGGCGGGGCGGGATTTAGGGAAACTCGCTCCAAACCCGCCCTGTTGCCATCCCTAAACAAACCCATGTCGTGCTGTTGCTAAAGAACAGTACTCGTGACGACATGTCTTTTTTTTGTAGGTTGATTGCCAACTAGACTGCCACAGTTATATATATATATGTGTGTGTGTGTGTATATAAATACTTCAACTAAGGGTAAATAAGGAATTTCAGTTTATATTAGTACATGGTGTCAATACAATCCGTCACTGACGTTGATTCTAATAGAATGAAGGTCCGTGTAGGTTTGTTTTATTTTTAGGGGAGGTCTGTGTAAATTCTCAAACCAAAGTTGAGGTCCCTGTAATTATGGCAAACAATAAGGGAGGTTCGTGTAATTTACCCATTTCTATATATGTATTTGTTGTATATGTTTGCACTATTTCAGGGCAGGTTAGATAACTTAGATGATTAATTGGCATCGTATGTATTTTGGGTGAATCTATGGATTTTAATAATAAAAGTTCAGGAAATCAGAGCAAAGGCAAGGCGTGCACGTGATATCCAGAGGGGAGATCCTTCGCCAATTGATAACCATCAAGATGATCTAGCTCTGAGTGAGTATATATATATATATATATATATATATGGATTTATATTTCTTGTTCTTTTTCAATTCAATAATTCATTGTTTTTGTTCAAAACAGTTATATATGGGTTTATATTTTCCTCAGTTTATGAGGTTTGGGATAATGGTAATTTGGTCCATTAAATTAAGGTCGTGTTGTAATTAGATGTTATTATGAGGTTAATAAATCCATCAAAAAAAAAAATTGAGGTTAATAAAGTCATTTAAGATGAAGGGACTGGTATTTTGGTCAAATCATGCATTTTCATTAGATGTGCCAACATGATTTTGGATTATCAATAAATAATGAAATACTAGCAAAACCAGATCCTAATACATGGATAAATTGGAGTACTCACATAACTTTCGTTGAGTAAGTACTTGCTAAGATGCTTTTCTCATATACTCATAGATTATTCAATCCATATAAGATTTGTAGTACTTTATCGAGTATGTACCATGTATTATTGCTTCAGGAATTTGAAATTCTTTCGGAATTTTCATGAATATCATTATCTAGTGATATAACCACGTTCATTATATGCACTGTGATTGCCAAATTGATTATAATGTGGAATGTGATTATATCTATTATGTATCATCATAATCAATATTAGGTCTCTATGAACAACCGAGCTACCAATCGTGCATTATAGAGAAATCATTGCTCATGTCAACATTAGATTCTCATCATGGTTTTATAATTAAATATGAAATGGATAGAGATGTTGATCTCATGTATTTGCCAATATACTATGTATTCATATGAATCATAACATGAGTTTGTCAATATGCTATATCAATATATGATATTCATATACCTTAAGACATCATCAGGTGTTTAGCTTCTGTAGTTAGCTCTATCTTTCGTGATGGCCAATCATGTCTATGTTGACTTTCTTCGACATTTTCACTTTAAGATTTCTGATCCTCATTGTCTATATTAAGAGCAATTGTATATGAGAATACGTTGTCCATGACAACTTCAATTTTGTTCCATCTATTTTTATAATTTATTGAGATCTCGTTGATTTTCAAGTACCTTTGCAATATTATCATAGTTAGCTAACTTGACCTCGTTAGGTCCCTTTGCCACATCAAGGGCATGCGTTTTATCAAATGCAACTTTATCATTGTTACCTAATTGGGTCTCTTCAAGAGTACCCTTTTTATCATTCATCATGCTCTTTGGCATGTGCTTCATTGTATAACCTTTAGCTAACTGGGTTTTTATAGGAGCACCCATTTCATCATGCTATTCTGCATATACTACATTAAGTGCCTCTGTATCATCAAGGGCTACTTTAGCGTTGTTAGTTAATTGGCCTCATCAGGAACGCCTATTTTATTATGCACTCTTTCTAGTGCTTTTCACTTTCGTGGAACAGAATCTTTTGCACCGACTAGTATGCCATGCATACTTTTGATGCATTTGCAATACTGACAATATGTCCCATCAGGACTTTAATTCTTGTTGACATTTTATCAAGTGACACACATGATGATATTTCTATATGTCAATGAGCATTTGCAACATTTTTTAAAATGATCATTTGAACATCTTGTTCATATTTCTTTGTACAAAGATCAAATTGATAATTTCAAAGCATTCTAAGTAATATCATTTAGCATATTTGATCTTACATTTTCTCTCCCTCAAGGTGGGAAAACAATCTTATTTAAATTTAATCAGTACATCGTGCAATAAAGACATCTTATGTCAGGGGATCAATATATTTCGTAAACCGATAATAGAAGAATTTTAGCAAATGAAATACCGTGAATATAAAATAAACAAACATGCTTTTGGTAATATAATAATATGCATAAGAAAATAAAGTTTTTCTTAATATATATTTCTTAATGGAAGTGAGACAAATATATTCTACATTACCTTTATCTTGTTGCAGAAAATATTTTCAATAACGAAGGATTGATGGTCTTACTGTCCATAAGACATATATCCTTACCTTAAGTTAATGTAATTTTGTGTAGGTCCTTGCCTGCAAACTTCATCTTTTAATAATAATAATAATAATAAAATTGACATAAAAAAAAAAAGGCATGCTTCATAAAGTAGATGATAAAAGGAAGTATAAATAAGCAGTGTGGATATTACTAATCAAAGATTAGTTTACCTCATAAAAACTGAAATATCCATAAGTATCATATAAAATTTATTTTTATCTTTGTCCCTTTTTCTTAGATTGTGACTTGGTAAAGATCAATTAAATGCTTGGAAGCATACGGTAAGAATCAAATAAATACTTAGAAGTAGATTGTGCAACCTTTTCATTTTCGATGTTACACTGATAATAAGTAATTTCACGTTGATCAAATTTTCATCGACACACTGATCAATTTTGCATTGATAACAAGCAACACGTGCCATAGGGGTTGCGACAAATTCTCCCCCTTTGCTTGTTTAATATTATTTTGGTCCCATCTTTAGGGGTATAATATGAAATTATAGTAATAACATCCACGGTGTTGACAGTTAATTCTACCATAACTATACCCACAACCATGTCTATGACCGTGAAATCAGCATATTTCACTTTTGAAATTGTTTTCGATCTAGTGGGACTGGAAATATCACAATAAAACCTCATAATTTTACTCTGTCATAATCAGACCTGATATCAATTGTACATAAATCCATGCATTCAACATGATCAGTGGAGTATCTCTTTATCAATATATGAGCTTAGTAATATTTTCCCCACATCAAATATTTCATAAATCTACGCCATCAGCGTGATAAGTGATATTCTTTTCAACATATACTCATAAGTAATTATTTCCCCACATCATCTCAATCTAGCTGATTATAAATAAGGCCGAATTATATTCGTTAAAAATTTCATAATCCTGTAACCACAGTTGCATCCATTCATATTGACCTTTTTACAAGGATCACAATACTTTGTGATTATTATTATTTTTTATTTTTTACCATAAAATAAGTGGATCTTTCACCATAAGATATTCAATTTTCAAATTATAATAAAATGGATGCAATCCCAAAGGACATTGAATTTAATCTCAATATCCATAAAATGGATCTCATAAAAAATAATTGTGCCCAGGTGAGGAGGCCCCG